TCTGTCTCCCTCCACCACTTGGCTCCCTCCGTATTACTTATCTTACTTATCACCACTTGTCTGTCTCCCCTTCACCAGAATTTGGAACTTAGATCTGTTTTGTTCACAAATGTATTCCCAGCACCTATGACAATGTTTTAAACGTGACAGATGCTTTGTTAATGCTTGTGAATGATTATGAGCAAAGCACATAGATGTTGTTCAATATATGGGTTGGATGAATAAATGGAGCCCAGAGGACTCCAAGGGCCCCATGGTTATACTCAACGTTTTTTGGCATCTGTCCCACTGGAGGTCCATGAGTAGTTGAAGCCTTGGGTAGTCACACTGGAATTGCTTGCTGAAAGACAAAATTATTTTCAGAATCCAACTTTTTTAGAAAGCTCTAATTCAACTTTGCTTTGATGCACTGAATTTTTAATCTTTGTGACTTTGAGGAAATCTGAAATTGAAAATGTGCTTCCCTATTCAGGAACACTAGATGGCATATTAAGCAAAAGTGGTGTAGTTTATGTTTAATGCCAACTTGTCATTGATTTGCTTTCTTTTTCTCTTCTTGTCAACTCAGATCACTGAGAGTATTGTGAAAATTACTTCAATATTGCCTTAAAATCCCTTTACAAATGAAAGGTACAATATAATGACAAATCACCAACCCTTATTTTTAAGATTATGGGGACTGTCACATAAATATATTGTCACTACAGAGTAACTTAAAACCAAAATATCAATATCAAATGAAAAATACAACCTTTGCTCAAACCTCAACATCATAGAAGCTGTAGTGAAACTTGTGCATGTTGTCTCTTTTGAATTATAGAAGGAAAGCCTTTTTGTTCTTACTTTGAGGTGTGGTGTTTGGCCTTGGTGTACTCATATCTACCAGGGCCTTTGAAAATGTAGCTGGGTACCCTATTTTGAAAACAAAATTCCCAAATTGTTATAGATATTTACATTTACATGTTTAACTATGCCACTAGATTTGACAAGAGCAAGGATTATTAGAGTTAGAAAAATTCTTAGTGAATACATAGTCTAATAGCCTTATTTTATAAATGCTGAAACTGAATCCAAAAAGTATATGCTTGTGGTTACATAACCAATATTTAACATCATTTAATTGCTATTAACCAAGTTCTCCTAACTCCAAATGTATTATATTCACATTTTCCAAATACATTGTTTTAATATCTACTGTGTGCCAGATTCTCTTCTATATGCTGGGGATAGGGCAATAAACAATGAAAACAGGATATCTGCTCTCATGAAACTTACCTTATAGTGAATTTTAAGAATAGTATATAACATTTTTACACACTAAATATGATTTCATATTTACTTCAATTGTTAACTTACAGAGTCATCTTCATCTTCATAATCCATCATTTCCCATTCTCTTCCTTCCTCTCTACCACCCAAAATGAAAGATTAGTTCATATTCCTTTGAAAATATCTCTGCAGATGAAGCAAGGTAGATTAAAGAAGAAAAATATCCAAACACTCTAGTGAAATTATGTTTATGTCTCTTGGAAAGATAGATTTTTACATAATATATTTGTGTGTATTTCTCTGCTGTTCCAAAACATATTTAAGATGCCTTACAGAAATAAGTAACATAAGAAGATAAAATCAGTGGATAGAAAGGGAAAATAAGAACAAGGAAAATGTAGCTAGAAAGAGTATATTGAGTCCTGTTGAAACCTGAGTGGGGATAGTACACAAAGTGCATTTCTTGATGTCCTGTATTTTTAGTATATGTAAATCCTACATTTGATCTGAACTTTCTAGTAGTAAATGCTAAGAAAAAAAGTTATAGGTCATGTGATTGATGGACATAAGATAAAAGCAGTCAATTTTTTGAGAAACCAGCTATTCTTTTTATTGTGATTGAAAAAAATTTCTCCAGCTCTTTCTAAAAAGAATGTATATATTTTTAATTTCTGAGATTCTTTCTTCTGTTTGACAATTGCAAAGATGTGGAAACAACCCAAGTGCCCATCAGTCCATGAGTGGATTAACAAAATGAATACTATGGAGTTCTACTTAGCCACAAAAAACAATGGTGATTTAGCACTTCTTGTATTATCCTGGACAGGGAGCGCATTCTACTAAGAGAAATATCACAAGAATGGAAAAACAAGCACCACATGTACTGACCATCAAATTGGTATTAACTGATCAACACTTATGTACACATGTAGTAGTAACATTCATCGGGTGTTGGGCAGGTGGAAGGGGGGAGGAGAGAATGGGTATATTCACACCTAATGGGTGAAATGTGCGCTGTCTGGGGGATGGACATGCTTGAAGTTCTGACTTGGGTGGGGCAAAGGCAATATATGTAACCTAAACATTTGTACCCCCATAATATGCTGAAATAAAAAAATAAAGTAAAAAACAGAATATATACAATGTGTATAATATCCTCAACAATATCCTACAGTATGATAATTGGTATGTTCATTCATGCTCAACTTTAGTTATTAATAGTAATGAATAGCATCCCAGCTTCCCAGGTTAACTCAATTCTGGGAAAGGGCGTGCCTTAAATAGAGAACAGAGGTAATCAACTCAAATAAATTGGCAAAGTGATTTATGCATCTACAAGTGGTTCACATCCAGAGATGATCAACAATAATCATGTCTGCAATGCAACCTACCAATGAACTCCAACGAGATACTACACCATAGCTCCATGATTAAAAGAGCCTGCATATAAAATACTTAAAAGAATGTCTGGCATGTGGTCAATGCTAAAAAGCATATCTTAGAAGCCATAATACAAGTCATCAGCAGTTTAGTTCAGGTGTTGATAATACAAGCATGTTCTAGCAACAAGCCACTTAAATCTCTTCATGAGTTCCACAGTTGTTCCATTTCCCTTGGTCTTTCTAGAAGGAGGTTGATGTAAGGTAACCAATCCTTTCTTCCCTAGACTGGCCCAAGTCAAGAACTACATTCCAAAGTATTGTACCAGACAGGGGCTAATTGTCAGGGGTGAAGAGACTGACAAACAGTTGACTGGAGCATTAGGTTTATTATGGTGGGATAGTAACTTCTCACTGGCAGAGTCACCAGCGAGAATTCTCCTCCTCTGTCACCCCACTGAGCCACCAGTACCGGATTCTTGTGCAGTAATTATAACTTCTGTAATGCCTCCCACCATACGTCAGAGGCACTGTTGAGAGAAAAAGTGCACGAGACTGCCTACCTAAAGAACATATGGTATGATGCATTTGTAGAGTAAGCCTGGATTACCTTGAACAGAAGGCCTCTCTTACAGCCTCTGCCTCGGCCTCTGCCTTTCTCCCTTCATCAACTTTCAGCTTTCTGTCATAAGGCTACCCAGACTTCAAGCCATAAACAGATGTCTTTTTCTTTAGAGAGACTGTCTTTCTTTTTTCGGGGTGGGGGGAGCCTGTCTCTTGATATCAACTCTACCTCATACTAACTAGACAATCACAGTCTAATACCTGGGATGCTGGCAGAATGTTGTTGGAGCTGTGCTCCACCACGCCCTCTAGAGGAGGGCCCAGGCAGTCTCTGCATTAAGGGCAGCTGCACTTCTGGACAACTGGTTTGTCATTTTAAGCAACCTATGATCACCGAGTGAATTGGAATTTCATTTCTCTCATTGAGTTGGCTTCACCTTTGTCTCTCTCTCAGCAATTTATTCAGTTAATTCTTTTTGAAATTTTGTATTGTGTATTTTTAAAGTTACCTCATATCCTTTTTGGGACAAGACAATGTAAAAAATGCATACAGGAAAATAAACAACTAGTCATAGGTCGTCTTCAGACACTGTGGGATACTGAGAGTTATGATGTGCTCTTCCTAATTAAAAGAGAAAGATGGTTCTTTCTTCCTCCCTCCTCTGCTCTCTCTCTCACTTTGAGAACTGACACCCAAAAGTATTTAGTCGGAGACTTAGTAAGTAAAAGTAAAGGAATGGTTGTAACAGTCATGATATGATAACACTGGTCATGACGATGATGGAAAAGAACTAGGAAACAAACATTAGAGACCTTCATATTTATTTGCAAACTATACTACCATTATGTAGAAATATCAGTCTAATAAGCAACTGCCAGCAGCTTCAAAATCTCTTTTAAAAATATCTCTTTTAAAATATCTCTTGCAGAGATATTTTAGAAGAAAGAAACAGACCTTTCCCCTCGCCCGTTTGGTCTCCCACAGTGGGTGCTGACACCAACTGGGGCCATGTGATTTAATTCTGGCAGGAATCATCAGAATCCTGATGCAGTTTAACTTGACGGGGAATTTCGTTTATATTAAAATGACTGATAAAATGCTCTCTTCTGGAGGTCAGAAAATAATGCGACATAAATTCTTTCTCAAGGTTTACTGCAGGGGAAGAATTCATTCATTTGATTCCACCTAACATGTTCAAGGACCACGTTGCTGGAGGGACACGACTCAGGTGTGCATGCTGTGCTAATTCTTGTGTTACTGTGTCTCTACCCCCAGGTAGACATCTGTGTTGCTTTACCCTGCTTCTCACAGGCAGGACTGTGGAGTTCACTGAGGGCTGAATACATGCCAATGGGTGGGAACAAAAGGATCAATGATGCCTAGACTCTATCCCCAGGGAACAGGAGGTTATTTAAGTTTTATTGGTTTCTAGCTGAATTTTTTTTAGGCCTTTGCCTGAAGGTCTGAACCAACTTGCAGAGGTTATTGAAAGACTGATCCCTTTACTATGGGACCTTATTCATCACACAGAAGTCAGAGTTGAAGCCACTTAGAGAACTATGTAGTTCCTAGGTAAATTAAATCCACCCCCTGCCTCCCACTTTACAACATAGTTCAAGGTTAAGGCCCCTTCACTGTCCATGACCTGACCTCTAACAATCTCCACATCATCCTCTCTTGCTACTCCCTGCATACATATTCTTTTATTTGTTCAACTAACATTTGGGGGCCTCTATCTTCCAGGCATTGTGCTTGGCATTGGGAATACTGCTTCCCTGCAGTTTAAGTTCACATAGAAGATCAACTTCAGGCAGAGAATCACATATGCCAGTCCAAATACGAGAACACATGAATGGGGAGGATGTCCTGGTTGGAGACCCAGGAAGGCTTCCCTGAGGAATGTAGTGGGAGAATGGGGTCAAGGGAGGGGAGTGGGAGCTTTCAGGCAGGGGCATAGCCAGTGCAAAGGCCCTGCGTGTGGTCTCACACACCATGGGTTAGTGATAGTCATATCTGGCTCCTGTCCATTCTAGGACTGGGCCTTTACAGACTCACAGGAGTGTTTGTTCTGGCTGGGGCTACCTGTCTCAGTGCACATCCAAGACATCATCAGCAGCAGGAGAACAGTGGTCAAACTGGCACACTGGTGCAGTAACACTGCTTATTTCTCAGCTTTGTTTTCAAAAGAAACTCCTTCCTAGAACCTGACCTGGAGATTCTGTAACTATAAGAGAACATATCTGACTGTCTCTTGACAGCAAGTATGACATTTTAAAAGAATTCTATTTGCATTCCTCTTAGCCAAGTTTTTGAAAGATTTGTATTGATCGTATGTTTCAGCATGTGACTAAGACAGCTTGCTTTGTGTTTTTCTGTGTCAAGCTTATACTTCACAACACAGCAAAATCTCTTCGATATTCAATAGTAGGTTCTGTTTTATGCATAATATGTAGGCAAGTAATATGCAAAGCCAGCGATAGAGAGTTGCTTGCTTTGTTTGCTGGTTGTTTATTCCTTGCTCAATGTGACTTTTTACTGTTATTAAATCTTGTAAGTATCCAGAGATACATTATAATGACCCCTGTTTGCAGGAAAGAAGGGGCTTAGGAGTAAACTTTACTTCATACAACATGTCTTGTATATAATAGTTCAGAAACGGTCATGAGGTTTCATGAGGAGGTTGGAAAACTTCTTAGTCC